AACTACAAAATAATTATTCACATTTAAATTTGATAAATTTTGTCAAAATTCAATCTTTAAATGCTTATAAAAAAAAATTGTGATTATGTATTTTTAATATTTTTCAACTGATATTGTAAAAATATATCAGGAGACTTGTATTAATTTTTTACACTTTTTGGCCCAACCCATAAAACTTAATTGATATTTATAGAAAAAAAAACTAAAATAACTGAAAACTGAAAATGTCCGTAAACAGCTCAAAAAGAGTCAAAATATTTTCAAAATTGTATGGTGTATAGGAAATGTTAATTTAAACATTCAGTGAAATGTTCATGTATCTACAGTTATTCGTTTTTGAATTACAACAAAATAAGGAAATCGAGCGAATATCCAATATTGTAAAAATTTGAATTTCAAACCCTCATAAAAATTTAATTTGACTTTCTTATAGACATTTATTTATTGATAAAGGTAGATAATCTTATAAGGAATCTTGTATCACATTTTAAAATCTTAGATTTAAAAAGAAAATTTTTACGAATTCTTAACTCAAAATAATTTGCTAATTTTCGTGATTTTTCCATATTTTGTCAATTATTGAACTTTAAATGCTTATAAAAAAAAATTGTGACTAAGGATTTTTAATATATTTCATCTGCCTTTGAAACAATATACTAGGAGCCTTCTATTCAATTTTCAAGCTTTCGCAACCAACAAATAAAATTTTATTGATATTTTTAGAAAAAAAACTAAAAATAAAATTGGAAACTGAAAATGTCCCTAAACAATTCAAAATAAATCAAAATATTTTGAAGATGTTATCGTGTATAGAAAATGCAAATATTAACAACCAGTGAAAATTTCACTTATCTACTGTCATTTGTCTTAAAGTTACACCAAAAACCAAAATCGATTTTTGCGAAAACGGATTTTGCGTAAAAATTCCCGTTTTTCCTTAATTTTCTTTTGTTTTTCACGGTGCTTTTGAAAACTACTGAGTAATTTTTATTTTAGACCCCCCGTAGTACCAACTAGATTCACTTTCCTATCAGAAAAGATACAGTTGAAGAAAATCCAAGCACTTTTACTGTCCTAAAAAGTGATGACAGACATGTAAAATAAAAAAAAACACATATCATTGTAAAATCAATACATTCATCGTTCCACTTTGAATCTAAAAACAAAAATAAAAACACACAACATTGTAAAATCAAAACATTCATCCTTCCACTCAGAATCTAAAATAGTTCTTAAAATAATAGTTGGACATAATATTTTGACACATAAAGTTAACCTATGCGCTTTGCCCTGGTCTCCCCTACTCGCATATTATTATCCATGCAACGATTTGGGTTATAGTATCCCGTTTCATATAAATGTTTCAAACACAGAAAACTAAGGATCAGTTCATCTGAACAATGTTTCTATATCTGTATCTGTCATGAAGATACTAAAGGAGTGCTCTGCTGATGTTGACGAGAGGTGGTGGACGGAAACTTGAACTTCTATAGGTGGTTGTATGCAAGTACTGTAGTATTGTACCACCTATACAAAACGGTTAGGCGCAGATAAAGCGAGGATCGACTGCCAACAAAATATAAGTATGTAACCATGTGGATTGTGGAATGTGGATATACTCAATATTTTTAATATAATCAACAATTTATAAACATAATACGCTATGCATTGTACTTTTATTGTTATTGTTGAAATATTGGAAAGTGATGATTTTTTCAATGCCCACTAAATAATAATATCATGTCTATCGTGGCTATAGTATCAACATTACACAACATTTACAAAATGTTGATATGATACAGCATCTTGTGCGTCTAATTTAAAATGACAATCTGGTTAAACAAGCAAATGGAATTAAAAAACGAGTTAACATAAGGAAAATAAAAAAAGACACGTTACAGGTTATTTCAGGCTATTCAACATCTTAAATTCAGTCATATCTAAATTTTTAGAAGTAGATATCTATATTATAATATTATAGTATATACTTTATTATAATTTATATTGTTAAAACATTACAGTAATAATTATTTCAATACCAATATCTAAAAACATGGGGATAAGTACCGATGATATTAATAACTTTAGGAACTAGGAAGTATTATGCACAATTGGAGTGGTAATTCATGAAAATTAAATTTATTTCAACTTTATTCATATAGCCATATAGCCATATAGATATAGGTACATTTTAAATTTGTATAATTATATATTATGCACAATAATTGCACATACTCGTGATGATTTCATAAAGTAAATATTGATTATACTATAAATCTTATTATTATATAAATTATTTATCGCATTTTATCCTTTTAATATTCGTCATACAAGCTTGCAGGACGCAATGCCTTCTATATTATAGTGACCTAATATGTATTTACACACGTATATGAGGGATTTTGGGGTTCAACACACCCTGTCTAACAAAAGATTTCAAAAAATATATATTGGAATGTAAGATTAACTCAGTGGCGTATTTATTTTTCATGGATTGGGTCCAGCTAATTTTTCAAACACATTTACAACTTATATTAGCACAGAATATATTAAAATTATATTAGATGTTTAGATAGGTATTTATGGGGCCAATGGAGTTGGGTCCGGATCCATAAACCCTCCTCCCCTCCCGAGTTAATACACTACTGAATTACAGTGGCATAATTAGGAATTTGGTTTGGGGGGGGGGGATATACGTTTTTAGCAAACATGAATGTTCATTATCAATACTTTTATCAAAATGTTAGCAGTAAAAAACAGTTTTGGGGGGATCTATCCCTCTAATCCCCCTCCCCCTGCTGAATTAATTTGTATACTTTGAGTAATTTTATAATTGATAACATATATTATGTAGTATTATGTACATAATATTTATTTTACAATATTAATTAATTAACGATAAACATTTATTTTATTCACAATAGCTAAAAATTTAAAGCCAATAAATATAATAACTAATACACTAATAATTAATGACTATACGAGAAGCGAAGTTGGTAACGAGTTATAAGTATTTATTACATATTATTCTACAGTATAATGAAGTTAGGTCAATTATAGGTAATGTGGGTTGTATAAGAAATTAAATTAAGAGTTTTTCTATTCGTAAATTACTATCATATAAAAACATGTATGTAGTAAACTAATAACAATACATCTGTAATACAATTTAAATGTAAATAGAATGTAGAAATAATATATGACACATATTCTTATATTTTAAATTACCTAAGTAATTATATGAAAACATGGTACATAATATGTAAAATTGTACCCAATTTTTTTAGTAAAATATTTAGTTACATTATTTATGATATTCAAGTGTTTAGCTTAAATTTATAATTTGGTTCGTAAATGTTTAAAAGTATAACTAATTAATACTACTTGTTTGTACTGTTTAATTAATGAGCATTGAGCGTTCTGTTGTATGATTATAATATTTGTTACCTACCTACTATTATATATTATTCACAATTTACATTTTAACTTAATATTTACTATAGTCTATAGGTAAGTATATTTAGAAATTAGTAATAATTCATAACTTATAATGAATACTGTTTAATCTAACCTTACGAATTAAGATAAATGATAATCGTTCGTTTTTGTAAGATTTTTTTTCTAATAAGACATAAATTATGTTGTCACTTGTGATATTTAAATCGTGTGTTAGTTAAACGGTTTGAAACTTATTCACAATTAACAATTATTATTAATTAATGTAATGTAACGATTATAAAAATATTTAAGGAATACAGATATACAGTATTGTGTATTGTAATAAATTATTGTATCTATTTTATGGATATATTATTTTTACATTTTTATAAGATGTTTACAACTATTCTTATTTAGAATAATAAGCAAATGTGATGAGGGGAGTTACATGTAAATATTTTGGGGGGAGAAGCCACCCATTAGTGCCATTACCTATTTTGAGTTTTTAATTAATTCATTTTTGTAAAATTTTTTTTTGTTGTTAATGATCATTTAGAAGATTAACTATTATCTTTTGTAGAAAAATTTTGTTTCGTCAAGTATTGTTGTTATTGGTAAGTCATCCTCCAGTGTAAGATTAAAAACAATTAAACAAAGGGAGGGGAGTTAATTATTTTTCTTAGGGAAATATTTTAAAAAGTTTGAATTTTTGGCAATTCTCTAGAACTGGAGCCCATAGATCCAGATGGGTTTTAAAAGGATTTTGTATGTCACCAGTTTGATTTTTAGGTTTGTGTGTGTATTTCTGTGAATAAGTATTCTTAGCATGCTTAGGCGATTATTTAGTTGTAGTCTTTTTGACTTTATGGATATAATATGATAGATTCATATAATAGATACCAAGTTATTATACTTAATAGATATATCAAAATTCAAAGTATACAAAATGGAAATTAAAAATCGTAAGCTATTTTGAATATGAAAAATTAAATTTTTTTAACTATTAGAATAATTCTAATTAGGCAATAGACTTGGTTATATTACTTACGTTTATTCTAAGCAATATATTATGTATAATATAGGTAATATGTGTAAATCGTTGCATAATTATTTCTCATCGTCTACAAACAACTAGATTTCTTAAAATGGTTTACGGACACGCACTAATCATATTTAGAATGTAAAATGTATTCTTCAGTACACACTTACTTATGTCTCTAACTTAACGCATACTTATACTAACGTAACTAATTATATACCTACCTATATTAATGAGCTTCTAGAAACAACGCATGATACTACTTCCGCTATATATATATATATATATAGGTACGCGTTGCGCAATCACGATCTCTAAATATATGCTAACTAAAGATCGTAATTGTTTATGATTATGACCTATGAGGTTATTTACGGTTTAAATTATATTTTATATAGCAAAAAAAAAACATAACACAGAAGTTGTTTATAAGTTTCTTATGGAAATGGATATGAGCCGTTACACGTCTTGTATGTCACAATAATGATCTGCACAGGCAACTGGCAACGATAATAAAGATGCGTCACCTTTGAGGACCCGGATCGCGCCTCACCCGGTTCCTCCGACGAGACTTGCCCAAACAGTCGCGGTTTTTCAATTGACCGTTGATCATACTCATACGGCAATCGTAGGACAACGACGCCGATTTACTGTGACCGTGTACGTTTACGTTTCCAGTCAATACCAACGACTTGACGGGCGTCTGATGTGCGCCATTTTTGTCTTCGAACACCCTGGACATTCTCGAATAGCTCCATGGTTCCGTGTCTGGTACCGCACGCCATTCATGCAGTATATTATCGTCAAACGATTCGACTAGAAACTCGTCGTTATCGTCGTCGAATCTTGTCCTATTGAAAAAAAGAATGTATATTAATCATATATGTACCTGTAGTAGTAGGTTGAGGAAAGGATTATACAAATTACCGCAGCAAGAGAAACCAATCCACAATCCACATATGAGAAGCATTTTTTTTTTTTTTACAAAAATACACATTAACTGCAATACTATATATTATTATATTTACAGAAAAATATTTTAAATTAATTAATTATATACAATATATTAATAAATTATAATTTATAAATAACATACACTATAATAGTTAATATAATTTGTCTATTGACACGAGAGAATAATTTGTTAGTCCTTGAAACATTTTAAGGTTTTGAGTTATTATATAAATTCTACTAAAAATGTGGTTCATTTAGATACATAATCGTGTCAAGGTTAAATTATTTTGTGCAAATATGCATGTAATCATGTACCAATTGTTCACTATAATCACAAATTAAAGTGTGAAACTACGACAACTAATATACATTACACACTACATTTTTAATTTTTTTTTAATAAATATTGAAGCAAGCATCCCTTTTACCGTATTTACTTTCTTTTACTACTAAATACTAAGCGATCTTTTGAGGGGTCAATATTCTGTACATTAGATGACATTTTTATATCGACAAATGCCGACCTCTTATCGCATCCTGTGCGTTTTATCAATTCGTCAACTCGACCAACCAGCACCCTGTACTTGACCGATTTACGATTAGTGACCATAGTTGTGAAATGATTTTGAAGTTGACTTGACACTGCCCACACTTTGTCGCCCACAATTTTCATGCCACTGGGAAATTGAAAATCTTCGTCACTCTAAAAAATTACAAATGTATATACGATTATAAATTTGGATTTTACATTAAATACTCAACAAATGCTCCACTCCCTTTAAAAATTATTTTTTGGTTTCACTTAAAACTCAAACAAGATTTAGATCTTAGTCTTACTCAGAAAAAAATGTATTAATTCGTTTTGAGATTTGACTATGCATTTTCGTTGAATTAAATATTTTGAAATATACTACTAGTATTTTTTTATTTTTAGATTCAGAGTGGAGAGAGGATAATCTGTATAATTTACAATTATTTGTTGTTTTTCTGGTTTATATTTAGAAACAATTATAAGTAGCCGATGATACATAAATACACTCGTATCATATTATATATAGTGACACTATCAATTTCAAAACTTAATTAATACAAAATATAAAAACGTACCACATAATATAGTATTAAATGTAATAGCTATCCTTTTTATATGAGTAGCCGAGTTGGTAGTTATTATATAGGTACCTTATATATCGTGTGGGTGTATTTAGTTGTAAATGGGTCCTGGATGTTCCAACAGCCCAAACTGTTGTCCATTGATGCGTATATAAGTACTCCATTGTCAGTCATCACTTCAATACTAGATTGGGTTTCTCTAACTTCCGAAGACAAAAAGAATGTACCGGAACCGTCGATTAAACCATTTTGAAACAACGATTTATTTTGCAATGTGTTAGTGTTCACCCACGATTCCCTGATGCTAGCGAAGGCGTGGAAATACAACTTCCGATCGTTTTTTATTATAGGACCTAAACAATGGCATTTCTGATTATCGGGACATTATATGTTATATGTACTCACTATAATTACAAAGGCAAAAATATTACCTAAGGCTAATCCTAATATTCCATCCATTAAGTCGAAGTTAACTCCTTTAATTTTAAAATGAGCCTTATTTGGGTACGGGTAGAAGTATGCTTGATCTATCACCCAACTTTCGTCATTTTTAAAATCGTACACAACAAGTTTATACGCAGTAGTATCGGTTATGTAAGCAAATGTATTACGGCCCTTTGAATCTCTGATATCGACTTCGATGTTGGTAAACAACGAAACGTCTTTTACCTGTGACGAAGGAAATTTATACGTTTCTATAACAATTATAACGAGACAAAATTAGAGACGTCAATGTGTTAAAAAAAAATATGATAAAACAGTTCTCAGACTTCATAGTAGACTTACTTATAACTCTATCGCCATTTTTCAAGTCAAATATCAAAAGTTTTGGAGGGCACACTGAGCGAGCTGTCATCTCAAATTGATCTAATGTGCCGACATCAACAACCCAAAATCGACCGAGGTAGTCAATCTAAATACGTGTGTATGAATTAATTTGTTGATTTTATACTTTAGTTGTTATTTTTTACTCACTTTGGTTCTAAATACTGAAACAATCGTATCGTCGCAATTTATCGTGTCTTCAGAAATAGTATTAGCCTTCCAATTCGGGTACGGCGCTAATAGTACAGAACTTGGGAGATCTCCTGGAACTACTTCTGCGATGGATGCAGGATTTCCCGGCTTGATGCGAGGAACCGTTACAAACACTCGTTGTTTGGTAACAGCAGAATTTGAATTTGAACCCATATTGAAGTATAATTTTTCTTCAGATGGACCTAAGCCAGAAGAGAAAGTGAAAAGTTTGAAATTATTTACATATATTATTGCCATTAATAATGCATTTGTTACGTTCCAAAAGAATAATGTGTTATACCATTAATTTTTTTATGTTAATAATAATATTCATACAATTATTTATTTTATAATTAAAGAAACATCTAATATATTTTTTATAGAGTTGCACATGGTTGAATCATAACAGTTTCGTAATTTGTATACTGTATAGTCAATTATAGATGTGATATTAAATTTAAACTATTAATCATTAAACATCGTTAAAATATTAATAAATATATCAAATCAAATGTCTATATTAATTAAATGTAGATAAATATACAAAATATATGAAAATATATTAAAATTTCAATTAGTATTAAACTAACTTATCCGACGCACATCGCTCCCCGTAAAAAGTGACAACTCTTAAAAATGTTTTATTGTTCACCTCCTTTTTGATATTGAGTGTAACTCGCTGCAGTAAGTGTGACACACCCACTCTTGTAGGCATTTCGACTAAGTCTGATCTCGGACAATGTGCGATAGCGTATCAAGTAGGACACGCCGATGAGCGGCTATAATTTTAGGTCAGCCACCTTGGTAGGCAATGTGCGAAAATTCGATTTTATGTATGCTTGTACCTGATCTGCCGAGTTAACCAATGTCAACCAATAGACAAAAAAAAAACTAATGTCTACTAATTATTTCTTCTTTAACCAACAGCAAACATTTATAAACAACAGTTTCCAAATAAAATCTAAAAATCCATGTTTGAGCACCACCTCAGGTTGCACCTACTGGGTCCAATTGGCAATTATGTATCTAAATCATTCAGGAACACACAAACAATTTCATAAAAATCGGTCCAGCCGTTTAGAAATGCATAAAGGATACAGGCAAACAGACTGCAGACAGACAGATATTCATTTATATATATATATATATAGATAAAATCCAAAATTTTTATAATTTGAAACTCCGGAATTCGTTGCAATTATAAATATCGTATATGTCAAAAACATCTTATATTTTGTGACAAAAAAAATATAGTAAAAATAATAGGATAGCAATGTCGATTACTTAATTTTTGCGTGACAAAATAGATTTTTTTCAGTAAAACAAAGATTGAAAAATGACTTGTGATTTACCACCATACCAGTGGATATTGATACGCACAGGAATTAAAATTAAGTAAACAGTTTTTTTCCACGATAATGACAATAATAATATACTCAAATGTCTACAGGTATAATCTGTGTATTTGCTGTGACCTGTAATTGTTCGCCATACCCACTGAACTAATTTTAAAACAAACAGTAATGGTGAGCGTGCCTATAATATAATATAATACGGATTATACGGACTATATAAAGTGATTAAAAAAATATGTATATACATTTCAGCAACGCTGAAACCTGAAATCAATACATATTACACATATAATATGATATCCATATACATAGATATATACCAAGGATTTCAACAAGTTTGGTTACGGGTAGTTTGGCCAAAATAAGCGTAACTATAGCCTATAAGGCCTGCAGGTAACTAATAGGAGGCTTAAGTCTCGCCTAAAATTATTTCATAATAATCTTATTCACCGATTTGTGTATTGATTTAAATAATATGCGTGTTTTAAATTTTTTATCTATATGTGTACACCTTTTATGGTAGATAAAAATATTTTGATCTTCAGTTAACGATGTTCTAATTGGTACTTGTGGGGGGCGCATGTAAACTCAGCCACGAGAATCATTTTTTAGTGTTAACTAAACAGTATACACTATACAATTAATATAATATACAGATTATTATTAAACAAAAAAGCATAATTTTATAATAATAATTATTCTTTTTAAATAAGTATATGCCAAAAAATATAAAAAACTTAAAAATAAAAATAATAACTGTTCGAACAAATCATACAAATTGCAATGGCCAGTATTATGTTAAAAAATAAGGATAAACAATTATTGTAATAACAATTAATAATCAACAAATATTTAGGCACCTATATTATATTATTATGACATTATATAATACTTATAATATTTTGAACTGCAGTGAACTAAAATTATGAGATACAATTTGTAGATATTCAAACCATTAAATCTAATATAAATCCATTATTATAACTATCCCAGTATAGCGCTTTCTCTAACAGGATCATTTTTTTTTCATTTAAAATTGTTTAGTTTACTTAGTAGAGAAATATAAATTAGTTTCACATAAGGAAGGCATACTGGCGGAGTTTCTATGTACCCATTACAGGTAAGAAAATAAAACTGTCGAAGTTTACATTAGACCTTTTCATTACCTTTTTATCTAACTGGTATTCTACTATTCTAGAGGTGTTTACAATCGCCCCTTGTGGGAATTGAAAATTGAAAAGTATCTGCAGTACCTAATACAGAATACTACCTAGGTAACTTTTAAATTTTCTCAAGTTTTGGCATAAATTGATTTTGTTGGTTTGTTGTAATACCAAAAATGTATAACCGTAGAAACTTAAAATGTTTACCAAATGTCCAAATGTATAGAAGCATACTCAGTATGACATGATATAATTTTCAAAATATTTTTATCTTTTTGTGCTATTTACAGACACATTTTGATAAAACATTTTAGGCTCAGTTATAAAGCTTAAAAATGTAATACCAGATGCTCTAGTAGCAATTTAAAAATATATTTGTATAGATTTTTTTAAACGTCTGAAGTTCAAATTTTGAAAAAATTGGATATGTTAATAAATAATAACCATTTAGTAGTTATTTTGCTGTAATCAAAAATGTTTACGTAGGTATATAATTATTTACCTACATATTTGTTTATTTTTTTTTTTATTAATTAATCCGCGGGTTCCCTTAAGGTTACCCTAAAAGTAACCCTGTAGGTTTTAAACACGTTTACACAGTTTGGCAGATTTTTTAGTGGACACCCGTAGGCATCTGTCATGCCCGGTAGGGGATGGCGGCATTTCTCTCCGGACTCTGTGAATTTCCCGAAGAAAAATGGCGGCCTCGGCCGAGGTTTTGAACCGGCTTCGGTGCACGTCGCAACCGACGCCTTAGTCCGCTCGACCACTCCGCCCCCATTTATTTATTTGTACATAGGTATAAACGGGCTTCTGCCTTTTTAATTTTAGATTATTTTAGCAGGCATGTCGAACATGCGGGTGGCCCGAGGTTACCACTTACCAATATTAATGGACAATTAATTGTATAGTTTAAATGAATAAAATAAAAAGTATACAATTTTGATTTAGTGTCAACTTTAGTGTTCCTATGTCAGAAAAAGATATAGGTATTTGGGATATATTATATATGTTACTTTTTGTCTTATCTTCTGATAATTGTAATTGAAGTATTAATTTAGAAGTATTTATTTGAAGTATTAATGGTAATACTATAACAGAAGAGGGTGTTATTATGTCTCTGATTTTGAACCATCAAAAAATATGATTTCCTTTCTCAAAGTTAGATCCCGTGGTTTGAACCAAAGACAATTATTGATTTTTTTTTAACGATTAAGAAAGTCAGTATTCTGCAGGTTTACCAAACTTAACCATAGTTTACAAAGTAGATGAATGGTATTCTGTGCTAATTTTTAATGTACTAATAAAATAATGTTGACAAAACTAAACAAAACCGTGTAATATATATATATATATATATATATATATATATATATATATATTTATATATATATATACTCAATACTGTAAGTCTGTAACTATATGTATAAGTCATATACTATCATTGACTATATACTAAATATATACTTCATATACCTATTTAACTTATTGTTTTCAGTATTTTTTTCTACCCAATACGGATGATATCAACAGGTTTTTGTAAATAGTACATTATTCAGTTATAATCATCATTCATCTGGGTTATTTCGACTATCGCTATTTCTTAAATAAAAAAACTATATAATATTCATATTATATTGTTGATATTTAATTAACAATCAGTTATTATATTTATTAGGTAGCCAAAAAATCAGGTAAAAGAATAAAAATAATTAAATTAAAATTTTAAACGATTCAAATCAAAAAAAATGCTCTGCTGTACAGAAGGTTACAAGTGGGTCACTGAATAATGGATATTATTAAATTTGAATTCAATGATATAATATCATTGCACATGAAAAACGATTCTGAGCGGAGACGGTATGTCAGTCTAGGTATAAGGCATATTATATACTTATCTATGGTATTAAAAAAAATTGACCTATAACAAATTCCAAATTAATCATATCACAATATCCATTAGGTACTTATAACGCGTTATACATCAACAACAAACCCTGATACTATCATAGATTTATAATAGTGTACTTTAGAAGTTTCAAGTACCCACGAATAATATTATACAATCACAACAAAATAACTCAAATAGTTATTCTAGATTTTTAATATGTAATTTCGACCAAATTTGAACTTAAAATGACTATAAAAATAAACTGTACTTATGTATTTTTTTAGATTTATTGGTAACAGAATTAACTACTTACGTGGAATCTTGTTTTAAATTTTCAATCCTAGCTTAGGTATAAAAGTTGGAAATTGTATACATTTTAACTAATTTAACTACAAAATAATTATTCAATTTTGAATTTGATACATTTTGTCAAAATTCGATCTTTAAATGCTTATAAAAAAATTGTGCCTATCTATTTTTAATATTTTTCAACTGATATTGTAACAATATATCAGGAGCCTTGTAATACATGTTTACACATTTTGGCCCAACAAATAAAACTTTATTCATAATTATATAGAAAAAAAACTAAAAAAATTGAAAACTGAAAATGTCCGCAAACAGCTTAAAAAGAGTCAAAATATTTTCAAAATTGTATGGTGTATAGGAAATGCTAATATAAACATTCAGTGAAATTTTTTATGTATCTACAGTTATTCGTTTTTGAATTACAACAAAATAAGGAAATCACTACATGAGAAATCGAGTGAATATCCAATGTTGTAAAAATTTGAATTTCAAACGCTCAAAAAAATTTTATTTGGCTTTCTCTTAGATATTTTTTTTTTTGATACGATGTAGTCAAGAGATAACCCTGATGATTATAATAGGTAGCCGCCAGCCGGAGCCTTATAAATGTTATATTCACCTTGAAATATGTCCACGTCCAGTATGACACAGTTTTCAGGAATGAACTTCCTTGAGTTGATGGCCGATTCTCGGTGATTCGGACTGGCAAATGTATAGTCCACGTACACCCAACTGTACTCGACTTGCATAGTCCCTGCGACCACACCGCACACGAGGACCGCCGCCGCCACCAAGGTCGAAATCAACCCGCCGCCGCAACGGCAACGATATGGCAACATCGTAGTAGTTACTTACTGGACACGGACATAATAAAATATAGTTATTCGTTAATATAGTTGTTTACATGTTTAGATACTACATTATGGTATATAATAATATGATGTTATGTTTAGGTATACTGCTAAAAATCAATAACAAGCCGAACCGGAACGAGGAGAAAAGACGGAAAAACTCGTGCGATGTTAAATAATTATTTATTTCGTGTACACAATACGCACGCAAGTTCAAATTCAAATTGTATGCTGTATAATATTGCATGAAAGTAAAATTGGCCTTCAAGGAAATGTAAATGTGTGAACCCGGCTTTCGCGTATACATGATACCTGTGTATTAGCTAGGTGTTAATTATTTTTACTGTATCGATATTTTCTATTATATAGCTTTATCAAAGTATCGTTTTTCCAAAACTTAGATAACGTTTGATTACGTATACAACTGTAATATGAATATAATAATATATTAAACAGGGCACTGAGCAACATACATTGTGTACTTGCCTATTGCGTACCTTGGGCTATATGGCGCATGCAACGGACCAATTGAAAGAGTCGACAAAGACGACGACGTCGAATATAATACAATATTATTTAAGTATTTTTGACTTATTTTTATGCAGGTAGATTGTGAGACTTGAGTTTTAGGGCGATTCGGACGAGCACCGTTTAATGACACCTCACCGAAAAACGCATCCTATATACGTACGATAGCGTATATTATATACCTGCTATAAACTACAGCAAGAGCCGGAGAGGTTCGCATAATCACATATTAATCATTGTGTTGGTATTTACAAGACCACTGTAGTCGTTGACGCGTATTACATTATAAATTATAATATACCTATTATCTATTATAATTATGTACGAAATTACAACGAGCCAAAGGTGATCAGATCTATAAAGTTAAAATGGGATTACAATTTAGACGCGTGTGTGTGGTGGCCCGTGGACTGTAAAAATAAACACTTTGTGTCTCGCGATAAGTGATAACAGAGTTTAGCATTCGGCTTCGTGTTTCTTGTGATAACAACCATTTTCCCGTGTGCATACATAATAATATATTATAATAAATTAATAAATGCACCAGTTGCGAGAATCGCATATAATTATTACACGAGTGGATAACCCGAAAGCGATTTTAAACTATAATGGCCATTCCAACGGTTATTTGATTATATTATTTATTTAATTAATTTAAATATTTATTAAATCAATGTACTGGTGTAAACGGTGAGGTGATGTTGCTTGTGATAGCAAAAAACTGGTTATCCAAGAAACTTACTCTCAAAAACAAAATCCAATAAAAATAAATTCAACACAGACAGACATACATCGTATTGTTAATTGAACAGGACAGGAAATTATTATGAGTACCTCCTATTCAATTTACAATATACAATATACATATTATATATAATTATACCTGTATATTCTGCAGTGTTGTTAAGGAACGATTCCTTTTTAGAGGAACAAATGAAGGAATTAATTCCTTTTTATTCTTTTAAGGAATAGGAGCGTAAATATTATAATTGTCTTGTTCTTCTCAGAAATGTTTTAAAAAATTTTGGAGAGATTAATGATTTTAACTTACACACTAGTGCACTATGCCACCACCTAATAAGTAATATTTAATAAATTAATTTAGATACCTACGTATGATTTACTTATGTCTTATATACGGCATCGAAACATAAAGTCCCTAAGCAGTGTGCGTACATTTGCAAGGAGTATTTAAATTAATTAGAGAAGTATTAATTCTAGAAACTATAAATTTTAAATAGGTTTAAATCTTTACGTTTCACTAGCGTTTACAAAATATATAATTTATCAGTTAATCGCTCTAATAACTATTGGGTTTTTATAAGAAAAAATTAAAATCAGTTATCATTGAACATTAAAACATTAACTAATATGGTTCATTTGTTCAGAATTAGGATCATCAATCTTGTGTTGATTTTAAAATCAGATATAAGATAAAAAATCTATTGGTAAATATAAAATACTAAATAGTTTTGTTTCATTTGTCCAAATGTACGCGATCCGTTGTGTATTTAACTAACTTATAGACTATTACACCCAATATAATGCCTATATTGGTGTTCGATGACCGTGACCAATAAATTCGCTTGCAGTAAAATGCAAAAAATAAAAGATTACGAAACATTTATTTTAATTCGGATTTCAGAGTTATGTGTAACGCCATCAATACGTTGTGGATTTAATTTGATTACCAATCCGGTAAAATAGCATAACCTTTAGTTAATCTTCATTAATAAGGAACAAAACGTTTTTAAATCAAGGGCGTTCTAAAATAAAAATAATTTTTTTTCTTAGCTCTAGGTAAGTGTTTGAAAAAGTAAAAAAGTGTTCAAATGTATTAGGTATTTGTATTTTAGAAGGATATAAATAGTACATTTATTTAATGGGTTTATATTATTAATCAATAATCATTATTGCATACGTCAATACTTTATTTCTGTCAGAATTACTATAAAATATACATTATTTTGTTACTTTGAACTTAATTCTTCAGTAAATTGGTCATGTGTATAGTTTTTATACAAAGGCATACATTTATCCTGGTATTTTATTGGCTCTTGAGTAGTCCTGACAAATTATTTTATGCAGAATTTTTGAAGTAACTAATAAACTTGGTTTCTTAATTTTCAAAAATAGAGCCACCACAAACGTACGATAAATTCTCTATTTTTTTAATTATCGTTAGCTTCTTCTCACCATGTTGTTACTGATCACGTTTCGGATCTATAAGATAAGACTGATAGTTATTAGTAACTCGAGTATAAGTTTGTCGATGACCTTGTAGATATTAGTTTGGACTTGAATAGTTTTTATACGAAGAATATCCTTTATTGGCTGCTGAGATTCTTAACATTACTTATACCGTAAGCACAAGAAATCAGTTACTACTTGAATGATGTAATTCCCGAATATCAAATCTGGTATTGTACATACTTAGTTTTATCCTAGTTGACTTCAATAACTCATTGGTTTGAGAGTTTGGTTGCCTTGAAGCCTCCGTTTTTGTGATTAACTCTGCGCGAGTACCTAGCAAATCACCATAATATCATCCGAGTAATCAAGCACAGTTTTTTTTTTATATTTCTTTAAATATACGACTTTATTTTAATATTCAATATCTATTGACTTACGATATCTACTACCTACTACCTACTACCTACTAGCTTTGTTCTAATAACCGTCTTTGGTGCTTTGAAAACGGTCGGTGATAACTTATCGCACCTTGCAGTCTTTATCCTATGTTAACTTCAAAACCTTACGATGGTTGAATTCAGAAATTGACTTTGTAGGACATAGGTAGTGCTGGAATTGTATTATTTTATTAATTTAATAAATATTGTTGGTATCCTCAATTCTTTTAGGGACTTCCATATTTTACCTTTATTGATACTACTGTAGTACTGTATAAGTACACTTGACTAAAGTCGACAAATGCGTGACGGAATCGACGAGTCCCTGAACGAGAGTAGATAAAATATAAGCTGGTTCGTGGATTGGCACTATTAAGTAAGTATACAATATAACATTATTGAAATGTCCAGATTTTCTAAAAAAAAATGATGAAATATTTATATAATTTGATATTATTAATGAATACCTGTACTTAAATGTTTAATAGGTAGTGACTATTTATTATTTAATTTTTATTTTTTTATTGTTGCTAAAAAATTTTTGTAACTTGTTTTATAATATTCTATAGTTTATACACAGATTTGTATAAGATTAAGAACATAATATTTGTAGTTATATATTAATATATTATGAATTTATGAAGGTCCCAAGACTAAAAAAATCATTCTATGAACAAAAACAATAAAACAAATCACCTTTGTTAGATCGTTTATTTTCTAAAAATTGGTATCCCACACTTGCAGACCTCCTAAAGCTTGTCTTTCCATCTGTTACTGCAGCAACCATTTAAAATAAAATGTATTTAGATTTAAATCGATTGTTCGGTCTAACAATAAGACATTAATCCGTTTATATTTTTGAAAATGTAGATTAATAGATTTTCAATTGGTTTTTACTAGATTTCAATTGAAGCGAGTGTCTTCAGAAATCACTTTAATTCAGCACATCTCGTTTCACGTTATCAATAATCTGATTAGTGATTAGGCATGCGTACTTATTTAGTTATGTTTATATAATAAGTAATAACCATATCATAACATTATAATATAAATAAATCACATACTTATACTCGGCAGTTTTAACACTAGAATGATTATTCGATCACGTTGGTAGAATCGCATTACGCCTTAAATAATAATTTAAGTGCAATTTAGTTTGTATAACTAATTTGTGCATTACTCACACTGAAAGGGTATGTGTAATGCCTATAAAACGAATTCACAGTGTAAAATATAAAAATAATAATCATTGAAATTGCTCCGCGTCAATTTCGTTTATTTTCGTCGCATTTTATCCGTATTAAAATACAGGTTATACCTACCTATATAGTTCATTCTATTGTATATTTAAATAATATATTGTATGTACTATGTATATATCTATGTATGTATGTATTTATGTATGTATGCAGTATGTATGACGTATGTATGTATATAATATAATATATAGGTATTAAGGTAGGTATGTATTATAAATTTATAAATACATAAATGTTCGAAAAAGTGTAGCAGATCGATAGCGTGGAGTGGTTACATATTAATATAATAATATATTATTATGATTTATATTACAATTTACAATTCAAATAGATTTAAACCTATAGATAGTAAGTACCTATACATTATAATGATTGCACAAAGACGAGATATAGGCAAAAACACTTTTTAGAGTATTTTAAAAATTGGAAAGTACCTACATCACGCAGCACTCATTTAATTATATAGAAAAGTACCTACTATAATATATTCAAAAATAAAAACCTAAAATAGGTTTATTATGATTCTTCAAATTTCTCTATAGTTTTTGCGGAACATTCAATACACACAATA